CAGGACAGGGTGTTGACCCATCTTGTCTGGAGGGTGCTTTGTCCAAGAATGGTTGGACCAGAAGATCCTGGAGGTCCCTTCCAACCTGGTATTGTATAACTCTACTGACTATGTGTATGTGCAGCAATACAGGATTCACTCTTACAGCTTGGCACAATCTATTCAGGTAACTTCAACCTTGCTGCTACCACTACTACTACTACTTGCATCTCTACCCTTGTCAAGGGCTCACACTCTCCTGCAATTCTGACATACTGGTACCTTGACATTGTATTGAAATTGTCAAAGCCATCTGTGAGTGCATAGGTAGTCATGCAGGCTGAAACTCGCCATCCTGACAGAGTAAAGCTTCTTGTAACAAGGCTCAAGCACCATTTTATTGTCTCATATAAAATGCCTCCAGCTGCTTTTCCCTGAGGAAGTACAGCCCTGTCTCTCTCTAGACTGCATATGTAATTTCATCCTGAAGAAAAATCATTGCCAATACAAATGATGCTGATCTGGACCCTAACTCTGAAACTCACCATCCTGACAGAGTAAAGCTTCTTAAAGGCTCAAGCACCATTTTATTGTCTCATATAAAATGCCTCCAGCTGCTTTTCCCTGAGGAAGTACAGCCCTGTCTCTCTCTAGACTGCATATGTAATTTCATCCTGAAGAAAAATCATTGCCAATACAAATGATGCTGATCTGGACCCTAACTGTTGAAGTGTCACAAATAAATGGTTCCTCAGAACCAAAAGCATTTGAGTCAGTAGTTCAGTTACTGAAATTCAAATCTCACAACCTCGTTAAGAGGTTGCAGTTGCTTCTGTACAAGTAACACATTTTCACCTTGCGTGTTCATCAATGCAGCACAGAATTAGTATTTTTGTGTCTATGCTTTTGGCAGTGCAGGTCCATCAGTGCCATAGAGCTTTCCTACAGATTTAGGATTCAGGGGGTGGTTTTCTGCAGCTTTTTTTTGCGTGTGACAAACTCAGAAAAACAAGTAGTTTCTTCTTAGTGTCTCCTTATCAGTGTTACAACTTCTCAGCACTAAACTGTAGCTTGGCAAGGGAGTTTTGCAGTTGACATTGAGAAACACTACTCGGATGCCTTAGTTACATAGAGGTGAGGAGTATAGCTAACCACAACCACCCTGCAGTTAAGAACTTAATTCACACCTCTGAAGTCAGACTGAAACGCTGTTTATTAAGTTACAACTTGTGCCATGTTCACCATCTCCACTGATGGATGATACTGTTTGGTATACACTCTGCAGAGATCACTTTGGAGTCTCCTCAAAGTTTGGCTCTAAAGGAGAAAGAGAAAAGTTGAATTAGCCTTTTTATTCCAGCCTTCAACACCGCAATTAATCTGCTACTCAAAGAAAACTTGGTATTCGTGATGTCAAAGGTAGAAACTCAGAAGGGTTTGGGCTTTTGACAGGTGGGCTATTAACGCAAGTCTCCCCCCACCTCCATATTGTTCCTATGGTCACACCTTCTTTCATTATGAAAAAAACTCCTAATTTAATAAATTTTTTTCACAGATTTCTAAATATAAATAAATTTGTAAATAAAACTGAACATAAGCAAACCACATCCCTAAAACTGGGGGGGAGAATGCCATTTTATTTGTACCAGGAACAATGTGACACCAAATAAATACCTCCTTAATCCATCCGAAGTAATACCAAACCCCAAAAGATTATTAGGTGTGTTCCCAGTCTGAATCAGACTTTCCAATGAGTCTGATCAGAATTACAAGTCACTGACTATGGTGGCTTGACCTCGGCTGGCTGCCAGATGCCCACCAAGCCTCACGCGCTCCCTCCCCCTCCCTCCACGGGAGGGCTGAAAACAGAGACTGTTTTTCACCCGCCGTTGCAGAGGTGCCACCAGCATCACTGACTGGCTCCGCTGTGTCCTGCAGCGGACCCCTCCTGGAGCCAGATGGAGCTGGCTCTGTTTGACTGTGGACACCCACAGCTTCTCCTGACAGGAGCCACCCCTGCGGCCGGCCGCTGCCAGAACTCGGCCACGTGAGCCAAACACCCCCACGTTCAGGAGATGGCCGAGTCCCAGGCACCAGCTGCTTGCAGCAGAGGAGGAGGAGAGTGTGCCCCTCGCAAAACCTGGCACTGCCCAAAACTGCTTCTGAGCAACGAAGGCTTTGGGCTGTACTTACATAAGTATGCAAAAGAAACAAAATTATTAAAATGAGCCTGTCTGTAAAAAAAATTAAGTTGCCTTTATGTCCTGAGGCAGACAGAGGATATGCAGCTCCCCAGTCATCACAAGTATTCTGCTTGTCATAATCAATCTGGGTAATACAAAGACACACTAGCACAAACTTGGGGCAGTTAAGCAGAAGTCAGATCCAAACAACTGAAGGAACAGGTTTAATATAATTTACTCGTGAAGTAATAATAGGTAACAAAGTTAAGTTCTATGTTCATTTTCTGAAAACACTGACTTTCCAGATGAGCTTACAAAATTTGCAGTTTGGATGATGCCAACAACCAGTTTTCTAATTATAGTCAAACAACCTCTTTGGGAGGATGAGAAAGAAAAATCTAACAATAGGTCCTGGGTTATTTCTATTTACACTTGGGCTATTTCTTTAGGGCCTCTGAAAGGTAATTAGGAGGGCCTGATCTGACTGCAAGTTTTAAGCATCAGTGTAAGTACACATCTCTACTGGAAAAGGCAAATAATTTACAAAAGGGGTCATACGGGACCAGATGCGAACTGTGTGACAGTAAGGAGATTCACTGAGGGCACCTTACACAAAATGAATAGTCCAAATGAAAACTGTTAATTAGTTAGGAAAACCAGTCAGTGAACATGTCCTTACTTGCAACTGGAAATTTCATATGATTGTTTACTCACCCTCAAACTTAAATTCTGGAAATTTGGTGAGGTCTCCTTCACCATACGCCCGTTGAAGCCTAGTGAGGGATTCATTCAGGTCTTTCTGAAATTCAGGGCCTGCATCAACAGGCCCTCCAGCTTGCCTAAAAAAAAATAAATTAAAAGTTCTAATTAACAGTTCAGTTCTAATATTTCATGTGGAACTACTACATTTTTCATGGCTATTTATGAATTAAGAATCTTTCTGCCAACCAGCTGAAGCAAACAATTTAAAGTACTTCTGAAAGTCAAGTTAGGACACACCTTTGGGCCTACTTACCTTACACCTGAACAAGGTTCTCAGGGCAAAGTACAGGCTCTCTACCATCAGCGATGAAAAGGCAAGCTACAGAGGCAGTCTTCTGAGACACAAAATTACAGTGAGGATCCAGGTTTTCTGGGTTCCTAGTTTCACTTGTTCCAGGTGTGATTTCCTAACAAAATTGTGATTTGTACCTCTGCTATTTCCAAACTAGTGATCCTCACTAGTAAACCTTAACTGCTCTTGCAAAGAGAAGGTTTTGAACAGGCAACAAACACAAGAGATAGGACACCTTGCATTCATACAGATTCAGACATGAATTTCTCAATGTCCAGATGGAGATGGGTGACAGGTGGTGTCCCTCAGGGGTTGGTGCTAGGACCAGTACTGTTTAATATCTTCATCAGTGATACAGACAGTGGGATTGAGTGCACCTGCAGCAAGTTTGCAGATGACAATCTGAGCCAAATGGTGCAGCTGACATGCCAGAGGGACCTGGACAGGCTTGAGAAGTGGGCCCATATGAACTTCAAGATATTCAACAAGGCCAAGTGCAAGGTCCTGCACCTGGGTAGGCAATCACCTGGCAATCCTTGTTATCAATACAGGTTGGGGGAAGATATGGTAGAAAACAGCCCTGTGGAAAAGGAGTTGGGGTTAGTGGTGGACAAAAAGCTGGACATGGGCCAGCAGTGTGCTTGCAGCCCAGATAGCCAATTGCATACTGGGCTGCATCAAAAGAAGTGCGGCAAGCAGATCAAGAGAGGTGATTCTACCCCTCTACTCTGCTGAGACCTCACCTGGAGTGCTGTGTCCAGCTCTAGAGTCCTTAGCACAGAAAAGACATGGACTTACCAGAAGTCCAGAGGGCCACGAAAAAGATCAGAGCCTGTCTCCTACAAAGACAGGCTGAGAGAGCTGGGGTTGTTCAGCCTGGAGAAGAGAAGGCTCCAGGAAGACATCATGGTGGCCTTCCAGTACCTGAAGGGAGCCTACAGGAAAGCTGGGGAAGGCCTCGTTACAAGGGCACGTAACAACAGGACAAGAGGCAATGTTTTTTAAACTCAAGCAGGGGAAATTAAGATTAGACATTAGGAGGAAGTTCTTACTATGAGGGTGGTGAAACACTGGAACAGGTTTCCCAGAGAGGTGGTGGAGGCCCCATCCCTGGAGACATTCAAAGTCAGGCTCAAAAGGACTCTGAACAACCTGACCTAGTTGGGGATGTCCCTGCTTATGGCAGGGGGGATTGGACTAGATGACCTTTAAAGGCCCCTTCCAACTCAAAGTTTTCTGTGATTCTAGGGATACAAAAACAAAATAACTAAAATAGTAACTCTTTATATTACCAATGCTCAGCTGTATCAGTGCAGATGTCACAATTGGTAAAGCCAACAAAAATATGCCTCCTTACACAGGCTAGTTTGTAGGTCTGGAAACACACATCTTCCTCCAACAGAACTAAGAAGTAGCTTATCTCCTTCCCTAGAATAACTCCCAAGAATTAGTTACACAAAATTACTGTAGTTTTAGTATCCTGTTAAGCAGTTCATTCAAACACTGCAAGAAATCTGAGACTCCATTTGAATGCACTGCTTATTAACTGGTTCCATGACTCAGCCTCACAGAATTAATTCTCAATTGCTTTTGGAGGCTATTTCCATTCAGCCTCTGGAAACAAATCTCAAGAATTGCCATTTTTCCCCAGAGACAAAAAAAAATAAAGGGGGAGAGGAGAATTCTTTTTTTCTTGTTTGCAGAGCTCACAGATGGGTAAAAATTAACATGCCAGTACGTTCACATGGCATGCAAAAAAAAAAACCAAACAACTTGAGTGCCTTAACTCCCCAAGAAGAATTACATCAACTTTACTTTTATTTAAGGGGGAAACCCAGACATTTTCTGTCATGTAAGCAAGAACAAGCCTTCTTACTTACAACACTGTCAATCAGCATTGCAGGAAAGTGTACTTTAAACATTTAGAGACCAGCCTAAAGAGCTAGCCTGTTTTAGCATTTATCAAAATCAACCTTTTCTTCCCCGTTTTGCCATCAGCCTTAAAAAAACTTCCATTATTTACTTGCTCTTAGTGTTGTATTCTCTGATCTTGTCCAAGAAGAGCTTCTGAACCGGGTCCAGCTCCTTTGTCTTATTGAAGACGATGGCAGACAGGCCGATGTTCCTGCGCACGTGGGCGGAGACGGCGGAGCGAAAAGTGGCCGAGAGTCGCAGAATCTGATGCAGGATCATGGTGACAGTGACGTTTTAGCTAAAAAATGAATCTAAAAAAAAAAAAAAAACAACAGAGCAGAGGCACAGAATTAGTTAGCTCTTTCTGCATGCTCAATGCATGAAGAAGCAAACTATTTAGTTCAGAGACGAGCTCTAAAGCTGAGG